TATATTGATTGCTATATTAATCTTTTAATTCCTAGTTGTGTATAAGTCCTCTCTGTACAGGTCACATCTTCTGGACGACACGTTTTGTTTCTTTTTACTTGTAATAGTCTAGTCTATGTTGTTATACATACAAACATTATCGTTAATCGTTATGTGTGGTACTTTGTCTTGCTGATATTTTCCTGCAAGTTGCACGAACAGCATGCTCTGAATGACTTCTTACAAAACTAACATTAACTCTCTTTGGCATAATAATTTTAGATATAGGCTTAATAGACGCTAAAACGGTGGTTGGTTGATTTATTTAGTGTTCGTGCCAAACCTATGGCATTGTGTATATTATTGAACTAAATACTTTTCACTCCAGAAACTCCCAATAATAAAATAAAACAAGATAGTTTAGGCCCTATTTCTAAACCATTGCTACGGCGGATGCAGAGGTGGGGAGGGGGGGGGTGCAGACGGTGCGGTTGCACCCCTAAATTGTATTAAGAAAATAATTGTATTGTATTAATTGTTCATATGAACATAGTACTGGTAAGATTTTTAAATGAGAGACTGAGAGTTCAATTTCCGGGCAGATAGAGGTCCATATTGTAAAAAAAAAAATGTTCTCGTCTCAGCCCCATCCATGGTGGGGCTGAGGTCGTGTGGACTCTCACGCACCCCCTACTGCTAAGTACCGCATCCGCCCTAGCATTGCGTCCACAATGTTTCGCGCCCAGTGTATAACTCTGACTCTATTTGCTATCAAAAATTGTGTTGTGCGAAAGCTGTAATTACCTAGGTAATCAGATAGTTTATATAATGTGCTATTGTTGTGTTGTTCTTCCGATATCGCAGGTCTATTTATATATTTGGCGATGTATTGTTGTTTTGCGTGTTAAACTAATACCAAATGTTGTCAATTTATGGCTGTTGTTGTTATTTGATGACTATATATTTGCTTTGAAAATATTTACTATATCTGATTCATGGACGGCTGCCTTTATGACTGGCACATCAGGTGGGTTTGCGCTACCTAATCAAGGCCTTGATTATTGTTCTGTACGTTCGCTTATCCTTGTGATATTCACTTGTGTAGAGGTCTCGCAAATAGAGCAAAATGTTGAATGACTACGGAAAGTGAAAAAAGATGAGTGATGAAAAACCATACTTGTACGCGATATCACATAATATAGAGGGCGCTAGTATCTACTACTGTATTTGAAGAGTAATACAGCGGCTTGGTCCACACTGACATTTCAAACGCGTTGGCGCAAACACAATCAAATCGCGCATTAGGGATGCTGCGCATCATCAACGCGTTAAACTTACTCTAGTGTGAACCAGTAAAACTTGATAGAGTTTAAGACGCAACACTTATTGATGAGAAAGAATGTTCACGAAATGTAATGGATCAATTTGCACAGTTATACTTTAGTTGTTGCTATATGTATGAGAATCTTTCTTTATTTTCTTTGTATTTAAGATGTGAACCGCAGTTTGGCATATGTTTGCACTGTCGTCTGGCACATTACCACAGAATGTGTGTTGGTATACCCGCGTATTACGAGGATTTTTTTTTTTTTCATAAGGTGTTGACTAAACATTCACGACCACGTTTGTTACCGACATTTGCAGACAATCTGAAGTCTGTCGACTCTGCGGCCACCAACAAGTACAAAATTCTCTGTCAAATGGCACGTACAAAAATAAACAACTGGTCGCCTGCAAAAGAAAACATCGCATCAGGTCCGTGTGTTTATTATGCGCAGGATAACGGCTCGCAACGCGTATGAGCAGTATTGAAAATGGATCATAATGTACTTTTTTTCTTTCTTTTTTGTAGTAGTATTACTTCTTCGCACTTAGCTTTGCTCCACTACCCTTTTCCTCAATTGTAAAATAACTTTTTGCATAGACTTGGTTTGTAATCAAAAGGACTTTAAATATTTGCGAGTCAGCAAAATAATTGTTTTCTTCGATCTGTTTCTAGTTGGGAATTATTTTAATCATTTTAAATGAGCTATTCAAAGTATGTTCTATTTAAGTTTCTTAATCCTTTGATGAAATTACAGTTAAATGTTTTTTTTGTTTGTTTTGTTTTGTTTTTTGTTTTGTTTTGTTTTTTGGTTTTTTTTTATGCATACCAACTGTGGTCCTATTTACCCATAAGTCATAGGCCTATTGTGAATATACAGATGTCAATAATGCCGCCTACTGTTGTTATTGTTTTTGCCATGTGGTGTTCAAGGTAGAAATGACTAAACACTTCATTGTCAATAATTATTAGAAATTCCATAGTTCACAGATTTCCGCACAGAAATCCGATTTAGGGCCTAATTATGATTATTAAGAGTAGAGCGTGAATTTTACTACGCACACTGTACTGTGTTAACGGTTAATGCTTGTCGTCTGATCTTCTTAAACCAGCCTTCTTAATCCAGCTTTGTCATACAGTTCTTTGATTTCTTACGTATTTTGCAAATATGATGACGCAGACGTGTCATATCGGCGTGTCTCAAGTAGATGAAATATGGTGTTGTTTGTACGAATCAAAACACTGAACCGGACACACTGGCAATTTATTACGTTGAAAATATGAAATACCAAAGATTTCGTTTTTATATTACGTAACATGAAGATTAACATGAAAATGGATGAAAGTCTAAAGTGACCGTATTTCGGAATCAATGTATCAGGACACGTATGACCAGAGCGTCAGGGAAAGAACCAGATCCGCGAACAATAACAATAGCATCGGTATCTGACAACATCTACAATTTACAATTTAGCAGTTCAACTGTTGCGGACTGAGTAATACAGTATCTTAGTATGTCTAGGCTTTAATATTCTAATTTTTAGTTGTGTTACCACTTCATAAAGTATTCATTATCAGTCTTAAAATTCTGTCAATGTTTTCAAAACTTCAAAGTCTCCCTTCCTGTAGCATGAATAACCATTATTTTTATGCCGAGACCTAAATTGATAACAACTTTATGTTTAGCCTAAACCCCCCCCCCCCCCACTTTTTTTTTTTTTAACCCATAGGCCTATTTATAGAGCAGGGTGACTATTCCAGCGTATCCTAGAAAAAGGTCGGCTAGTATTCAGGAGCCCTGTTAAGAAAAGGAAATAATGTGATGCTTCAACAACAGTCTCGTCTGAAACAACTTTGTTTCAGGTACGAAACTTCAGCCGGTTTTTCACTAGGCGAATTTATTCGCGCGAATCGAAAGCGTCGGTTCGTGCGCATGCGCGTTCACATTCCTATCGGAGTTTTTGCGAAGCGAAAAAATGCGCAACCAATCTGAAATCAGGAAGCGAACCGACGCTTTGATTCGCGCGAATAAATTTTCCTAGTGGAAAACCGGATTTAGAGAGTAGAGATGTGTTTTAGTCGTGAGAAATAATCCTGTGTTGTCACAGGATTTTAACCCAGGACCTTGGAATTGGAAGGCAAACGTCTTAATCACCAAGCTACACTCTCTATCAATGTTGATAATAGGCAACATGTTGACGTTTCGGCATACCTAGCTAACAATTTTAGGCATACTTAAGCTGGTTTTCCACTAGGCGAATTTATTCGCACGAATCAAAGCGTCGGTTCGTTTTCTGAGTTCTGATTGGTTGCGCATTTTTTCGCCAGCAAAAACTCCGATAGAAATGTGAATGCGCATGTGCATGAGCCGCCGCTTTCCATTCGCGCGAACAAATTCGCCAAGTGGAAAACGGGCTTTAGAGTGTACACTGGAGACGAATTGGGGCACTCTTCGAAAACCGAATCACTAGCGTTACGGTACGTCTTGAGATAGAACTCACAAATTTCCTACAGGAGAGGAAGACGTATGAACAACTGGAAATAAACTATGGAGGGAGGGATGAGAAAGACAGGCTTAAAGCTGGTTTTCCACTAGGCGAATTTATTCGCGCGAATCGAAAGCGTCGGTTAATGCACATGCGCATTCACATTCCTATCGGAGTTTTTGCGAATCGAAAAAATGCGCAACCAATTAGAGCACAGGAAGCAAACCGACGCTTTGATTCGTGCGAATAAATTCGCTTAGTAAAACCAGCTTTAGAAGAGCGCATGATAATACAGGGTTGAAAAAGTTTTTGGATAACTTTTATGCGAAATAGAGGTCTATTTCAAGTTGGTTAACCTTGTTCTCTGTTTAGGTTTATTTACGGGTTTGTCAATCAACTTAGCAACTGACCAATCAGAACAGTACCAGGAATACGCACGTGTCCATCAAGCACACGTGTTGTCCCACAAAACGCACGTGTCCGCGTATGTTTTAAGAAATGTCACCTTGTGGGACCTCATAGCAACAATATCCAAGGGGCGGGGTTTAGCGGAAAGTTCCATTAACCATGTAGTCTACAGTTGAGAAATGAGTACGTAATGATGATTGATATAGTCTAATTGGAAAATCACCGATAAAGGAAATAGAATCGAAGCATGAGATACAGGCCTACTATATAGAGTTCATGGTGATTAGTTCGACACTAGGTTGTACTAACTCCCTGACAATCATAAACCTGCACACGTACACCCAACCCGAAGAAAAATAATCAATTTAGCGAGTTCGTGTTAATTGGACATGATCGTTTGATTACCAAATAAAGAGATGTTTTATTATTTGATTTATGAATTGTGAAAAGTCAACAAAACTGCGTGCTCAATGTGTTGTTAATTGCTTATTTGCATACAGTGGTCGACGTTTCGCCTTATTCAATCGGTTGTTAATTTGGCAATGGTATGAAGAACTTCATCGTTTGATCTACCCGAAGCAATTACCATTGAAGAAAAAAAAACTATAGAATATTGTCTGTGGACTTACGTAAGTGTTTTTAAGTTAATTACTTAATTGATGGTGTCGTAATAACAACGGCAGTGCTGAATTGATATACTTTTGACCATGATGGATGGTGTGAATCAGTGGCAGCGCTAGGATTTCCCCCACGGTAGGGCAACACCTCCGACAGGAAGGACATCAGTTGTACTTTGACGCCACGCGCCATCCGAGCCCCGTAGAACCGAGCCGGGAGACGGGTACCTGCTCCCCAATGATAAATTTGTTTATACAGTACCGTAACAAGCCGCTAAATGCTCACAGGCCATCTTGATCTAAGAATCGTGTTTTTTTGCATCTCATCGGCGTCCAAACTATTAATTCATATAGGCCTATCCGATTCAGGCCAACATTTGATGTAAACGTTTTGAAATAATATTTTCGCCGCACCGACGTTAACCTTAACTTTAACGTTAGTACCCAGCATGCAACGCGACAGCTCCGCCCCTTTTGTAAACAAATCGAAATACGTATGCGCAAACACTGTAACGTACGTCGAGCACGTAAAATCCTGAAATTAACGCAAGATAAATAAATTATGACGTCATCCGTTAACGTTGTTAACGTCGTGCGGCGAAAAATACCTATTATTTTTTTTTGTCCCCCGATGAATCTCTCCTAACTGTCCCGACTTTCCCCACTGCACTGGCATGAATCGATGTGATACCGGATTTATTGAAGTCATATATGGGCATATATGACCACCTGTGTATCAGAGATAATCGCGACTGAATAATTTCTTGTATTTTAAATAATGTTGAAACGCCTCGGATCGACAATCCTTTATTTTTTTTTCTTCAACGTGCTGAAACTTTATAAATATCTCAGAACCGAAAGTATGATAATTTCCATGATTGAAGGTTTAACATATTTTAAATTTAATTTCCAAAGTTTTAGAATGCGGATTGCAATTCAACTCGAGCATTATAGAGTCTGCATGCGCTAACTATACGTGATATAATGTACCACTTCATTGCACCTGATGAAGTCAGCATAGACTGCATGGCGAAAGATTGTGTAATAAATAAACGAGGTAAGTCTATAAAGTGCTACCAGTGTTGTGTTTTTATTTTATACGTCTACCAGACTAACACGGCTCCATCTACATTAAATGATCAATTAAATTAATAAACGGAACTTAACCCAATGACGTTTTGCAATCCAATCATACAATACAGGGCGGTACATACGTGTAGGTAGCTGGTAGGTAGGGGACGAGCCGCGTTGGACCTGTTCCTTTAATTATAATCCTTTAATCAGGGATATGAAATACATTAAGTAGTTGATTTCAAACTCTGAATTACCAAAAACGAAAGGTATTCATATGTTGTAGATCAACAATCTATAATTGGTCACACGATGTTCACTGATTAAACGACTGCAGGAAATGTAAATAAATCTAATTATAAGGTAGGACTAAGTAATAGGTCTAATTCTTTTTAAAAATATGTCGAAACCAAGAACAAAAATTTATGCATTTCAATTCCATTTCAGCGTTTAGATGGAATCGGTAGCGTTTTCTTCGGCGTAACATCTGGTTCGTAGTTGCAGATATATATATATTTTGACTCACGTGGGCAACGGTAATTGATCATACATCGTCTATAATATTTGCTCGAGCCAAAAAATTGTTTTGGAAAACAATGGGCTTACTCGACTGGCTCATTTCGTTGAGTACGAATTTTCGTTGAGTATTATTTTCATTCGACTGGTTCGTTAAATAGACTTCGTTGACAACGAAAATTAACGTGAACCAGAGTGCGTTAATCAGCGTTAAGTTATCCAGACGTGACCAAAAAAAAAACCCCAAAAAACATGGCCGATTGGTGAGGTTATATACAACATTTGCGTTAATACAACTTAGATTAAATTTCATAAAATAAAAATTATAATATTTACCCACATGGAGTCAAAAAATAATTGTAGGCTAACAGAATTCAAAACTACCACAAGTTGAAGCAATCTTGATTACGCAACGTGTATCGCGGTAACTATAGGCCTACAGCCATTTTGTTTTGTCGAGTATTACAAGTTTTCTATTCGACTGGTCGTCTTCGTTGAGTAGGATTTTACCGCTGCGCAGGTGGGCGTGGTTTAACGAAGAACGACCAGTCGAATACGGCCAATGACATTTTCAAAATATTGGAGTGTACCACCAGTTGTCCTTGTACCATCTGCAGAGATACATGAACAAGTGATCAACATTAATTGTTCTCTTGATAAGTACAAAGTCAACCGCTTACTTAAGGTAGTCATTTAGATCTGTAGGCCTAAGTCCCTCCTAACTCCATGTACGGTGTAATGTGGGAAGAGTCAGCTTTTTCCTATTATAAGGCCTATTGGTCGATCGATTTCACTGGTTCCCTTTGAAGGCTTCTGAATCTTTGTTTTCTAATACTGGAGTCATCCTGGAATCATAATTATCTATGACAGTTATGTATACATATATAAACATTGGTTTGCGCATGTGTGTTCCAAGATACATCTGTAGAGACGATAACAAAAATCCAAACATCGATTGACCTTGTACAGCACTGGTCCCCAAACTTTTTGCCTACGCGGAACCCTCGGGACATGTCAAAAATCTCCATGGACCCCCTTGTTTAAGTATTTTGCCACAAATATACGACATTAAACAGTGGCAGATATTGGAAATCGATATAGAAACCGGGAAATGGCACTGTCGGACTCAAAATGTAATTTTCTTTTATCCACCTTATATTGAATTTTTTTTAAATCTAGGGCCCCTGATATTTTAATTTATTCAATATCCAAGTAAAAGAAATTTAAGACAAAACAAGATATGCATTACCTACGAACAAGTGGCTCAGTCTAAACACTAAACATCTAAACTTTAAACATCTTTACGTCAAGCATAGGTTACATAAAAACAGATATAAAAGATCCCGAACAGCTCAGCAATAAAATACCGTAAAACCTCGAATAGACCCAATGGGCTTAATCTCGAGAAAAAGCCCATCTCGAATTGAAGCCCTCCTTCTTTAGTTTGCAAAAGGACATAGCCTCTAAAAGAAGCCCATAAAAAAGAAGCCCAGGGAGCCTTCTAAATTTAGCATGGGCTTCTTTTCGAGATATGCCTACATCCCACTGTGGAGTGGAGTTGAATATCTTAGTGGTTAAGATGCTTGCCTTCTAATCCCAGGGATATTCCCTTTTCGCTTAAGTTTTTTGTTGATATCTTATGCTTAATGGATCTTATATTATTAATTGTTTATTTAAATCATATTATATGAGCGCATTTATTGTTTGCAAGACTTTGCAGGGCCCCTGAATATCAGCCGACCTTCTAGGATACGCTGGAAGGTTCACCCTCTATAAATATGGTTTAAATATGGCCCTATTTATTGTTATATAATAGTAATCCCCAAAATTTACAGCATTTGTCTTGAAAAGAAGCCCCATCTTTACTTTGCAAAAGTAGGCTCGAAAAGAAACCAATAGCGCCCTCTACATTAAATATTATGGAAGCGTTTATTCGCACGGTACCGTGCGAATAATCACTTCGTATTATTCCTACTTTTTCTCTGAGAGACCGACCGATGACCTCCGCTAAGGCCTAGGCCTAGCTCTCTTTGGCGAAGTAGAAGCTCCTGTGTTCTGTGTATATCAGAGAGTCCATAGTACCAGGTATTGTTTGCTTTTGGAAGTTAAAAAATATCCGTACAATATGTTCCTCCTTTGATGTCATAAGAGTGGAGCTTTAACTAATTAGCAAAGATAGGCAGTAGAGTTCTTAGAAAAAATGACTAAAATCAACTCCATTCCCTAGCATCATAATGCTGTCTCTTATACACATCTAGATGTGTATAAGAGACAGGACTTGTGGCCGAGTTAACTTGTGGCCGAGTTGACTGTGGCCGAGTTGACTTGTGGCCGAGTTGGATCGAATTCTTTATTTATCTAGCAAGGCCGCTAGGCCTAGGCTAGGGTGGGCCTCATTCTAGTCAAGCAAAGCCTAGGCCAGGCCAGGTTTGGGTAGCTAGGGCCATGGCTGCCTGCTGAATATTGTCATGTCAGGAATACTTTACCCTATAAAAAAGTAATAGAAAAAAGTGTGTTAGTTTGTAATGGAATTTAGATGGATAGTAATGTTAGGCTGTTATTATATTATTTAGATCTAGGCCCATGTCATGTCTTGGTTCGGTGTGTTCAGCTTTGGCTGATACTATCAATGCATAATATGCATTTGGATACAGTACATAACAGGCTCGTTCCCACCCCTGGAACTCAAAGTTCGAGGGCTGGAGATGGGCGCTAGACTAAGTGCTCCCACCCTCTTCCCCACCCCGAAATTTTTAAAATCTGAGATTTTTCATTGATGTATTCTAATATTTTGAGGTGTCAGTAATGCTATTGAAGCCTTTGTATGCTGACATCATTCAGGAGACTCCTGATCAAATCGGGAGGGTTGGAACATAATTATGATACAATATAATATGAAGATTTATTATTTAAAAACATTTTTTTTCTTTAGGTAACAATTAAGATTCCATGGGTAAATTTGAAGTGGATCGTTTTGTGAATGCACCAGATCCTGATTTGGTCTGCTGTGTTTGCTACTGTGTACTTGATGACGCTCTAGAGAGCCCATGCCAGCATGTCTATTGTAAAGTTTGCATTTATACATGGCTCGACAATCGTAAAAGCTGTCCAAACTGCCGTCGCCGGTTACGCTCAACGCGTCTAAAGCCTGTTCTTCCAATTGTACGCAACATGATAAATAGACTGCAGATTCGCTGTGAAAATGTAGAGAACGGTTGCACGCATGTCATGCAACTGGAGGCTTATAACAGTCATGTAGAGATGTGCGATTATAGATTCGTCAATTGCACAAACAATGAATGTAATGAAAAAGTGTTGTACAAGAACTTAGAAGAACATAAGCATCAGTGTTTGCACCGATTAACAAAATGCGAAAAAGGGTGTGACCTACTACTACCCCTGGGCAAGCTCACTGGACACAATTGTTTGTCAGAACTAAAGGAGAAATTACAAAGTATGTTTGTTTTCTGTACTGAACTAAGCAAAATACATCATAATTATTGATTAATATGAGGTTTAAACCAATACATTTTTATTTGTCTAAATATATATTTTATGCCGTGTGTGCGTGATCAAACTTAACTAGTATGCTAACTTAACAAGAAAATGTTTATTTGATTGTTTTTGCAGAAGTCGAAGGCAATTTGCAGATTGTAACATTAAAAATGACAGATGTTGAGAAACGAATACAAGTATTAGAACGTCACCACCAAAGAAGAAGGTCAGATAGGTCACCTTCATTTCACTACCAAAGAAGAAGATCAGATAGGTCACCTTCATTAGTATCTTCCATTTCATCGTTGTCAAGGAGACGAAGCCCTCCGTTACCTTGGTACTCACCAAGTGGTCCTAATCAAGGCAGATTTCAAAATAGGTACAATCAGAGATCTAGACAGAGTAACCAAAGTCGTGATCAAACCCAGAATGCAGACAGACCTAGAGACCGAAATAGATCTAGAAGTCCATCAAGTAGTCCTTTTATCAGCAGAACATACATAGACTTGAATAACCGTACACCCAGGAGATCAAGGAGTAGAAGCTGGTCACTCCTTCGAAGTAGTACCTCAAGAAGTGTGTCTCCTATAAGAGACGGAAGTTTAATTAGTGATTCTTCAGACAATCAATCAGATTCATCTACATGGCTTTCTTCAATTATTCAAGGGTTCAATACAAGTAGTGCAGCTGTCAATTCTAGCGATGATGAATCATTCTATTCAGAGATGAACCGGTCTTTTAGCAGTGGATCTGTAACCACTGATTTAGTGTCTGGTACTGGTAGTCCGACACAAAATAATGAAAGAGGTTTATTGTTAGAAGAAGATATTGAGATCACTACTGCTGTTGTTGGTACAGGAGATCAAGAGGACAATGCTTTCTCACCTACTCCAGCTGCCAACGTCCAACAACCAGCTAATGATGCAATGAATACATCAAATGTGATTGAACAATCAGTAGAATCAGAAAATCAAGAGGAAATGAATGTTGTCAATGTGCGTCGATCATCACGGTTGGCAGCTAGAAGAGAAGATGCCATGAAGTCTGGAACTCAAGAAATGACAGATAGAGATGAAGGTAGTAGCTCTATGCAACATTCTACATCTTTTTCAGCTGTACCAATCCTTTCAAGAATCACCATTGAAGAGCTTATGAGTGAAGGGACAGAGTCAAGCAATGAATCCAGCTGGAGACCAGAAAGTGACGTTACTACATCTGACTTCAGTGTCTTCGATGGCGAGGATGATGAAAATGATTCATGTAACAGCAGCAATTATTTTTCAAGTTGTGAACAGGAGGAACCACATTGGACATCACTATTGCAAAATTGTAACTCAAACTCCAGTGATACGGATGATACATGGTCTTTAGGGACAGCATAGTATCAGTATGTCAAACTCTTGTCAACAGTTTAGTAACAGGTACGATTTCCTAAAATTATATGAAGAGGTAAATAATAAGAGGCATTGAGAAAAGAGAAGATGCAGTGTGTAAAGAGGTGGAGTTAGTGAGTGGAAGAGAAAAGAGAAGATGCAGTGTGTAAAGAGAGAGTTAGTGAGTGGAAGAGAAAAGAGAAGATGCAGTGTGTAAAGAGATGGAGTTAGTGAGTGGAAGAGAAAAGAGAAGATGCAGTGTGTAAAGAGATGGAGTTAGTGAGTGGAAGAGAAAAGAGAAGACGCAGTGTGTAAAGAAATGGAGTTAGTGAGTGGAAGAGAAAAGAGAAGATGCAGTGTGTAAAGAGATGGAGTTAGTGAGTGGAAGAGAAAAGAGAAGATGCAGTGTGTAAAGAGATGGAGTTAGTGAGTGGAAGAGGAGACGTACCAGTACCATGTTCATATCAACAATACAATACAAACATTTTTCTTAATACAATTTAGGTTGGTTTGTTCATAATTATACCATGATGTTCTTTAACTTGGTTTAAGTTTTACTCTTGTATTTTTAATCAAGTCAATGGAATAATTTTTTCTGAAATCCTGTGTAATATTGCTTAACAAAATGCTTGTTGTTCAAGTTTGTATGTTCAAATAAATGCAATCTGACAAATGTTAAATTCCACTGACGATGAAGTCCATTTTAATAAGCAAGTCGTATGAAAATACTGTATCGATATGTGAAAAAATATACTTGGTCGAAAGTACCTATCTAATACGCCTGTAAATGAAGTACATAGTAGTATCTATGTGTACATTGCAGATTTCAAATTACTGATAGAAGCAAGTTAACCACTCCTGATATCACATTTACTTCTTAAGCTCTGTCTACACTATCAAATTTACTTTGACAAAAAAATGTGACATACCCATATATAGTAATGCTATGCCTATATATGGTCATGGTGTGATGTCATCATGACCATATTTGGGCATGTCACATGTTTTTGTCACACAAAATTTGATAGTGTGGATAGAGCTTTAAATATTACCCACTCAGGCTGGTGAAACATTTTTTTTTTGTACCAAATACAGTACAGTAGTACTGTATAGTTTGGGTTTAGAGCATGAATATTGGAAATATGTTTGGAATGTGCGAAGCTGGGCACTCATGGCGTTGTACGACGGTCATCAACGAATCCAGCTATGATCAAAATGAGTGGTAGACGACACAATGTCATCTACCGGTTGTCGGTGGCAGACTTAGCTCAACATTTTTTGTTGCGCATGGGTTGTGCCATTGCGTTATCCATAGAATTGCGTTGGCCGACGTTCATCGGGCCCAGTTAGTGTCCCGCTTTAAAGTTCATTGGCAAAAAAAAAAGAAAATGATGTCTAATTACGATTGTAGTATAGATAGAACTGATGAGGTTTAAGTTTGGATTTAAATTAGAACATGGTTGAAATTATTTGTTATTATAGTGAATAAAAAGATACTTCTAACACATAACTTGCATATCCTTTTGTAAGATAGTATTTTGATGTGTATAATTGTACTTTTGTACCACACAGAATTCTGTTCTATAAAACTCTGCCCACACTGTTAAAGCCCCATTCCCGGCAAAATTTCAATTTTTAAGAAAAATCTAATTTTTGTATAATGTTATAAAGATTTATAAATATAATACGGAATTGCTAGTTTAACTGAATTTAGACATTCCTAAGAATGAAAAAAATGTAAAATAAGACTGAAATTTGATTTTTTGTGTTCCACACAAAAAATAAATGCGGATGAATTTTCATGTTTGATTTTGCGACAGGTCGTGAGAAGAAATATCGTAGGCGCCGAAAACATTAGCCTATCCAATGCTGCTAGGCCTAGCCTCACCTCGATTTAGGGTTCTGTTATCACACATAAAAACGGCCGACATGATATTTTCCGTTGCTAGTATTGACACTTGTGAATATAATATTTCACAGGAATTATTTCAAATTTGTTAAAAAACTGATTCTGACTGAGATTTTGACAAAAAAACAAAAACAAAACAAAAACAAAAAAATCTCAGCCTAACCGAACGACCGCATTGTGCGAGATGCGAAGTACAAAAAGTAATCTCATTAGAGAGGGCGCACTTTATTGACTGTATAAAGTATAATATAAAAGCGAGAGTATTCCAGTGGATGCGAACTACAACCTCTGAATTTGCCTAGTAACGATGAATTCGTCGAGAAAATGGTAATATTTTATGAGAAATAGTCTGTATTTCTCATTTTTTTTTATTCTTTTGCGTAAAACTAAAATTCATGCCAATATTTTTCCATGATTTATAATAATTGGAGTAATGCAAATGCATATTTTCTAAAAAAAGTCAATTTTTAGTGAAATTTTGCCGGGAATGGGGCTTTAAGTTATATGTTATTTTCCTATATATAGACATGATGGTGTCATATCACACCCATATATGGCCACAATTCACATTAAATGATTTGTGGACACAGCTTATGCCACATTACCACGTTATCGTGTTAAGACATTTTACACATATAAATGTAATAAGCAATATAACGAAATATCAATTTATAATACTGCACTATATAACATTGAAAGTACATAATAAACTAATTTTTGTTGAGCTGCCTAGGATTTAACACACAGTTTTAAATTTATAGACTGCACTTTCCCCTACTGTACCAATGCATCTAGTATTAGTAGTAAAGGAATGGGCAGACTCAACACACTGACATTTTCAGATATGGCAGGCTACAAATTTATGGACCTTTCCGGAATGTCAATCAAACTTGAACAACTGACCAATCAGAACATGCTCAGGAATACGCGAGTATCCTACAAATAGGACCCTGGCAACAGTATCCAAGGGCGGGGCTTATCACAGGTCCATTATAACAATATACAGAAATAGGAAGATTTTGCAACCTTACGAAAACAACGAATACGTAATTATCATCGTCATTTGTGCTACAACATTCTTGACAATATTGTACGAGCTGATAATGATGCTTGATTCACAAAAAAGACATGAATTGCCTACGCTATAGATATGCTACTCTGCTAGGGGAAGGATTGTCAAAAATTTGATGACGTAACCGTATTCGTCATCGTAAGCTTGCGAAAACTCCCTGTGATAGAGATGATACGGATGGACAATACAAATAAGTTACTGTTTATACATGGAAACTTGGATTACTATGGAAGAGGATGATGAGGATCTTCGTGGAAGTCATTAGGCCTACTTGGAAGTAAAAACAGACGACACCCAGTTACTTCCTGTCAGCTTCAATTCTGAGAAAGAAGACATGAAAATAAAAAGTTGTAAACGCCGAGTCATAAAGCATTTCAGAATCAGAATAACTTTATTATCTCCAAATGAAGAATTTGAAGTTGAATGAAAACGATTTTCTGGAAATATAACATTTGCATAATATTAATACACGTGAAATCCTTCGACAATGCTATATTAAGTTCTGTACAATCCTACAGTAAATTTTAAAGTTTAATTTTCTACCATGCATGTTTTTAATTTAATTTCATCTAACTTTTCTGGAATAAAAACATGTAACAAACGAACCAGTATGGCAAAACAGAAGAAGTCAATATATGCACCTCTACACAGCCGTCTTTACCACCCGGCGATAATGTACTTTTTCTTAACATATAAGTGAACTATTCTGTACACATTGAAGAATCAAATATCTTATATTACTTGTATCGGACCTGTTTCATTCAAAAAGGTGACAACCTTTTTGTGACCATGTTTCCCAGCCATGATTTGAGCCGTTCGTCCTTTTACTGTTTTACACTTAAAATCTGCCTGTCCGACGTCAATTAACCATTTCACAACTGTCAGGTGACCATTTCCAGCTGCATGGTGAAGAGCAGTTCTACCTAGTACAAACAAGTTATTCAAATTTTATTTTTGCAGTAAATAGTCCGAAAAGACAAAGGGGAGGGGGGTTGTGGGGGGGGAGGGGGGGGGGGGGGGGGGGGGCGAATTGTTAAGTTGGAGGGAAGTTGATGATTAAGTGAGGAGGCATTAGCTAGAAAAATAAGTTAAAATGTTTTCTGCTCAGCAAATTTTCAGTGGGGTAGGCCTATGAGGCCAGGGAATGAGATGATCTTCAGGCTTTATTCAGACTTCTAAGTGGGGTCATCGGTGCGGATTGCCGTCCTCTACATATTCTTCTAATCAAATACCCCTCCAAATACGGACCACCTCTATTTAAAAACCACTTTTCTGTGGTCCCAATTTAACAAATTTCTCTTACTTTTATTATTCCAACTGGAGACTAAAGCTGCTAAAGACTGTGAAAGCCCCAGTCCAGAGGTGGTCTTTAGTTGGAGGGAGACCTGTAGATTACATTACCTGTTATATCTCTTGATTCTACATTACTGCCTCGCTGAACTAAACACTGCACACACTCTAGATTGCCATTCATTGCCGCTTTGTGGAGTAACGTCAAATCATAAGGATACTTGAAGTTTGGATCCTGTAATAGAGAGTTTAGGAAATTAAATATAAATATATAAAAATATAGGCCAACAATTATACATATATATTATATATAGGCGCAGCCTACACGTAAACGAAAATAAAACGATATATATTAAATATGACTATTAAAACTTGAATTTAAAAAAAAATAAATCTTCCATATGTAGGCAGCACTACAGTTGTAAAAAATACACAAATTGATGCCAAGGTTTGAATTTGTCATTAAATAAGTGATTACGTATATCACCATTAGACTCGTCGTTATGATGCATTTCCGACTCCACAATTATAATGAACACTAGCGGCTATTAGTATACGCTGGGTTAATTATAGTTATTATTGTATAAAGAGGTAATTACTTACTTGCCCATTGTCTAAGTAGTGATTGATTGCTTTCAGCGACCCGATTATAGCTGTAAACAACAATAGAGTTCGTGTTAGACGACTGTATTGTGGTTCCTAATGCATGAGCAATATGCCGTAACCTATGTCTATGGTTCAAGAGGTTGGGGAGGGGGAGGGGGTGGTGGATGATTTTCCTTACTTACCAGCCTCGGAAGCAGATGTATTCATTTCAGCAAACAGCAATGATTACCTTTTTATTGTCTTTATATATCTTTTACAAATTCAATCTCCTCTGCTAATAAATGATAATTGGTCTTCACAGCAGCTACCTCTCTACCAATTTCAACAGAAAAAATGTAGCTATAGGCTTCTTCTGTGTTACATTTACTCTTCTGGCAATAACAACGCTTGTATTATAAAGAGTAAAGCCTGGAATGATTTTAAAATAATTAATTCTTTAAATCACTGCATGCCAAAATGATGGAGACGTTGTTTTCTTTCTCCTCTCGATCTACTCTAGCTCCCAAAGAGTGAATTACATAATAATATAATTATGCAGACGCAACCATTATATTGTAGGTAAAACGTTTTTAATAATTTTATGTTTCTCTTTTCCTATAATACTGCAGTAATTATATTTATCTCTATAAATAAATAATTTAACTAAAATCATAATTTGATGTTCAACTATGTCCTATATTTGCAGATTGATATTAAACATAATGTCATGAAGGTACCTATGCACAAAAATATGGAGGTGGCTATTTATGATGGAGGGCATAAAATGTTTTGAGTATTTTTACGGTCCGGAACGATTTTTCAATACATTTTACATTCATTCGTCCATATTCGTTTTATTCTAGTATTTTTCAACCCACGTGTTCTCTCAAAGATGACACCGCCGCTGTTAAAGCAAAGGTACAGTTGTTTTTAAATTGTTCTGTAGAATGTTATACAGTACTAGGAACATTAAGCACTATCATAATTCTGCCTACTCTATTAGTTTTGTTTTTTTGCGACAGTTTAGCCTAGGCCTAGTGCCGTATTATTAGCGTACCGTCGACGTTGGTTAGGTGACTGCACTGCATAGGCACAGGCGATGGTAATGACTGTTTTTAGACATTTCGTACACAAATTTAGGTCAACTCGAACCCACGTCTATTTCCACCAACATGGGCAAACTAGTACTTCATTGGTTTAGGTATAATGGGAAAGTGATTATTTACAGCATTAAAATTATTTTCTTACCTTAGTGATTCTTACCTTAGTGATTGTAAGGAGGCAGGGAGTTAGTTAGTACTCGTAAAAATTGCCTCCTCTCAAGTTTTGAATGTGTCGGTCGTAGTTTGCTTTGAATTGGTTTAATGAGATACTACTGACAACATCCTCGGGTAAACAGTTCCATTTATCAATGACTCTAGTGTCGAAAAAGGAGTCTCGAAATATGGTTGTTGTATTTTTGACATTTGTAGAGTATGTGAAAGTGTAAAAAATCTATAATCAATGTTTTCAAAACCATGAATTAAAAACATCTTCTAAAATTATCTTCATGTTAAAAGCTTGCATACTCAAGTAACTTGACACACTAATTAATTTTATTTCATTTGAAATTGGTTTTTTAGCTTGAATGTTGTGAATAAGATCGAGGCTATTTATACTGGTGGTAAGGTACAGATCTCTAATGATAATGAGTATATCTTCTGTACATGTGGTGATGCTGTTAACATATTACAAGCCAAGTCTGGGAATGTTTTACATTGCCTGAGACAGGTAAATTACAAAGTTAGATACTTTTAAACCATATTATTTCAATGAAATAAATGGCATACATAGGCCTAGTGTTATTTCTATATTTTGAGAAAATCCAAGGGTACACATTTACCAACTTGTTGACATCACATTCAGTGATATTGCTTTTTGGTGCCAAATGTCAGCACGTATTTGAAAAAAGGATGACTTTCAACCATCCAATTTATTTTACTGTGCAGAAACCTTTTTTTGAGTGTAATCATTGTTTTTAATTTGTTTAGGATGATGATGAGGTAACATGTTTCAGTCTCAGTCCAGATGATCAGGTGAGCTGACCAGACATTGACATGTTAACAACATTAAACATTAAAAAATCCAACGAAAAATAATGAAAATGAATAATATAATACTAATAAATATAATAATAATATAATATAATTAGCATACTGCAGGCTCACATTGTCTTGTTCATAGCTGCTCAGCATAATATTAATAAGTACAAAATGGCTGATACCCTGTATAGAGATATTAACTTATACCCGATTCACACATGAAGTTAAATTTAATTATTCCAACTGGAGACTAAAGCTGCTAAAGACTGTGAAAGCCCCAGTCCAGAGGTGGTCTTTAGTTGGAGGGAGACCTGTAGATTACATTACCTGTTATATCTCTTGATTCTACATTACTGCCTCGCTGAACTAAACACTGCACACACTCTAGATTGCCATTCATTGCCGCTTTGTGGAGTAACGTCAAATCATAAGGATACTTGAAGTTTGGATCCTGTAATAGAGAGTTTAGGAAATTAAATATAAATATATAAAAATATAGGCCAACAATTATACATATATATTATATATAGGCGCAGCCTACACGTAAACGAAAATAAAACGATATATATTAAATATGACTATTAAAACTTGAATTTAAAAAAAAATAAATCTTCCATATGTAGGCAGCACTACAGTTGTAAAAAATACACAAATTGATGCCAAGGTTTGAATTTGTCATTAAATAAGTGATTACGTATATCACCATTAGACTCGTCGTTATGATGCATTTCCGACTCCACAATTATAATGAACACTAGCGGCTATTAGTATACGCTGGGTTAATTATAGTTATTATTGTATAAAGAGGTAATTACTTACTTGCCCATTGTCTAAGTAGTGATTGATTGCTTTCAGCGACCCGATTATAGCTGTAAACAACAATAGAGTTCGTGTTAGACGACTGTATTGTGGTTCCTAATGCATGAGCAATATGCCGTAACCTATGTCTATGGTTCAAGAGGTTGGGGAGGGGGAGGGGGTGGTGGATGATTTTCCTTACTTACCAGCCTCGGAAGCAGATGTATTCATTTCAGCAAACAGCAATGATTACCTTTTTATTGTCTTTATATATCTTTTACAAATTCAATCTCCTCTGCTAATAAATGATAATTGGTCTTCACAGCAGCTACCTCTCTACCAATTTCAACAGAAAAAATGTAGCTATAGGCTTCTTCTGTGTTACATTTACTCTTCTGGCAATAACAACGCTTGTATTATAAAGAGTAAAGCCTGGAATGATTTTAAAATAATTAATTCTTTAAATCACTGCATGCCAAAATGATGGAGACGTTGTTTTCTTTCTCCTCTCTCGATCTACTCTCCCAAAGAGTGAATTACATAATAATATAATTATTCAGACGCAACCATTATATTGTAGGTAAAACGTTTTTAATAATTTTATGTTTCTCTTTTCCTATAATACTGCAGTAATTATATTTATCTCTATAAATAAATAATTTAACTAAAATCATAATTTGATGTTCAACTATGTCCTATATTTGCAGATTGATATTAAACATAATGTCATGAAGGTACCTATGCACAAAAATATGGAGGTGGCTATTTATTTATTTATTTATTTTTACGGTCCGGAACGATTTTTCAATACATTTTACATTCATTCGTCCATATTCGTTTTATTTTAGTATTTTTCAACCCACGTGCTCTCTCAAAGATGACACCGCCGCTGTTAAAGCAAAGGTACAGTTGTTTTTAAATTGTTCTGTAGAATGTTATACTAGGAACATTAAGCACTATCATAATTCTGCCTACTCTATTAGTTTTGTTTTTTTGCGACAGTTTAGCCTAGGCCTAGTGCCGTATTAGCGTACCGTCGACGTTGGTTAGGTGACTGCACTGGATAAATAGGCACAGGCGATGGTAATGACTGTTGTTAGACATTTCGTACACAAATTTAGGTCAACTCGAACCCACGTCTATTTCCACCAACATGGGCAAACTAGTACAAAATTGGTTTAACTTTAGGTATAATGGGAAAGTGATTATTTACAGCATTAAAATTATCTTCTTACCTTAGTGATTCTTACCTTAGTGATTGTAAGGAGGCAGGGAGTTAGTACTCGTAAAAATTGCCTCCTCTGAAGTTTTGAATGTGTTGCTCGGGTAAACAGTTCCATTTATCAATGACTCTAGTGTCGAAAAAGGAGTCTCGAAATATGGTTGTTGTATCTTTGTAGAGTTTCTTTGTGAAAGTGTAAAAAATCTATAATCAATGTTTTCAAAACCATGAATTAAAAACATCTTCTAAAATTATCTTCATGTTAAAATCTTGCATACTCAAGTAACTTGACACACTAATTAATTTTATTTCATTTGAAATTGGTTTTTTAGCTTGAATGTTGTGAATAAGATTGAGGCTATTTATACTGGTGGTAAGGTACAGATCTCTAGTGATAATGAATACATCTTCTGTACATGTGGTGATGCTGTTAACATATTACAAGCCAAGTCTGGGAAGGTTTTACATTGCCTGAAACAGGTAAATTACAAAGATAGATACTTTTAAACCATATTATTTCAATTAAATAAATGGCATACATAAGCCTAGTGTCATTTTTATATTTTGAGAAAATCCAAGGGTACACATTTGCCAACTTGTTGACATCACATTCAGTGATATTGCTTTTTGGTGCCAAATGTCAGCACGTATTTGAAAAAGGGATGACTTACTACCATCCAATTTATTTTACTGTGCAGAAACCTTTTTTTGAGTGTAATCATTGTTTTTAATTTGTTTAGGATGATGATGAAGTAACATGTTTCAGTCTCAGTCCAGATGATCAGGTGAGCTGACCAGACATTGACATGTTAACAACATTAAACATTAAAAAATCCAACAATATTGAAAATGAATAATATAATACTAATAAATATAATAATAATATAATATAATTAGCTTACTGCAGGCTCTCTTTGTCTTGTTCATAGCTGCTCAGCATAATATTAATAAGTACAAAATGGCTGATACTCATGTATAGAGATATTAACTTAGAAGTGGAGCCAAGTTATGAGCTGTCGGTTGATCTGAAAGCATCCGAGGAACATGTTCTACAAGGAACTAATTTTGTTAAATATTGATTGCTATATACTGCATTAATTTATTTAATTGTGCCAGACAGTATATTAGGCCTGGAAATCTATTTTGGAAAATAAGGGCAACTTTTGCTCAGATTTTGCCTACAATTAGGCTTGGACCTAACCTTAAACCAATGTATTATGCAGTAGTTATGTATTCTGCGCACATATTTTCCTAGCAATTTTCCACGCAAATTGGAGTTTTTTTAGGTATCATCCGTGTAATAAAAACCCTTAACAATATGGTCATAGTGTGTGCCCACTTTAATTCAGGATAAGCTGTGAAATATTAAGTAGTAATTTATTAGAGTAACATGGTTAGGTAACAAAGTACTGTTGGCCTATGAATTAATTCTGTATTCAGTCCGTTAGCCTAAATAGTTTTTGAAATGTTCTTTAACTTTATTAGTAGTATGTAGACTGACCATATGTATAGTTCGTTTACGGTAGGGTATACGGGTCATTTGACCTTAGTGGAGTGACGTCCTTACCTCGTGATACATAGTTACCATAGTTTGTTTACGGTGGGGTATAGTCATTTGACCTTAGTGGAGTGACGTCCTTACCCCATGATGCATGGTTAACATTGTATTGTATTTTTTTGTGTTTCATTGAGTTTGGTATAATATTGGCCCATGATGGCACTTGTAGCAATAAAAGAAATTGAATGGTAAGACAAACTTCAATTATAAATCCTTTTTTATGGTTTTTAAATAGATCCTTGTCATAGCCTACAGAAGTCTTCTGATCCGTCAGTGGAATTGGAAAGAGGAGAAATGTGTCCGGACCTGGAAGGTACAGTATATCGTCACGTTCAATCCATTGAACACCAGTCTTGGTTGGTTTTAAACAAGATACAGCAGTACCTCTGCATATACATAAACCATTTCCATATTATAATTTCATAATTGGCTAAAAATTCAATTTTATTTTCATTTGAAATCATGATTATTGGCAGACAGCAGGTTTGCTAAACAGGGTATTAAAATTTCTTGCCTTAGCAGATTGTCCAAATAAACATAATGGATGCAGCTTAGCTAAGTCAGCTAAGCTGTGGTAGCCATTGTCTGTGTCTTTAACCGTGGAGATTTTTGGTCCCTGGTTCACTCCAATGGTTCCTCTTCCTTGCTGAAATACAAGTTATGTTTGCACACTCATTGTAATCGTTAATCTTGTACCACACTTGTCAATATACAAGTTACATAATATTTCTCCATTCTCTCTGTACCTTAAATTCAAATTCAATAAAAGTTTTAATGAGATCCCTAATTGTTTTGTTTGCAGGCAATCCACATTGCTCCTATTATTAGCATGGCCTTTGATGTAACCTCTACATTATTAGCCACAGGTAGTGGTGACCAGACCATCAAAATATGGGATGTTATACAACAATATTGTACACATAACTTAAAAGGTAGCCATTCTGTGGTAAGGTGAGTATCGTTTATTCATTTTGCTGTTAAGCATTAAAAAAGAGCAAGTTTTCTAGATAGTGTATAAAGGTTTCAACAGTAATAAAGGTTATATGCCTCTTTGTTAACTTTTGTATTAGCTTGTCATGATTGTAATTTTGCTTTGAAATTTGATGATAATCTTCTTCTTGAGTCACTATGTAGCTAGTGCGTATAATCTTGCTTACATAGTGTGGTAGATGGATTCGCAGGTGATAATGTATTTTATGGAAGTTTAAAGTACTGAAGTTATATTTTGTTATTGTTTTGTGATGTGATTTGTTCTATATTTACAACTCAGGAAGAAAAATTTCATATACATGTACTGTACCATGTATGACAAAGTAATAAATCTTATTGCTAACTATTGAAATGAAAGGGTTAACTTAATTTTATTGTACAGTGTAGGAACTACCATGATTAACAAGTAAGTTTTCTTAATTTATCATTGTTGTCTCATAGTTACCTCAAATTCCATCCGAATGCAGAGAAGTTGATGCTGTTTTCTTGTTCAGGCTCATTCATCTATGTTTGGGATCTTCAAGGAAGCAAGTAAGTTGGTTGCTTAGTTACCACTTGATAAATGTCAATCAAGCATGTATCATGTTGTAATGTCTATTTTACATTAAAAGAGTAACAGAACAATAAAACAGAAAATACAGCAAAAAGGAAGAGATGAAGAGCATCCTTGAACAAATTGATCTCATATCATAACAAAATAGAGATGATGTGGAAAATTGCACATTATAAGATATACTACTCTATACATAAATTGTTTTTTTTTATCTTTGTCCATTGCTATTTTGAGATGTTTGCATTTAATCATTTTCATTATTGTTTGTAGGTGGTTGAGAGTGCTTTTTGGATTCCTGATGATTATCCAAGGAGACTTGGATTTTCCTGCAATAATCCAGTTGTCATGATTGGTGGATCTGAGGGTAATTTTAAGCATGTATTTTTTAACATTTATCACATGTCTCTGTTCAAGATATATTATTTTATAAAAATGTAATTCATATTTTATAGTGTTACATCAGATTTAGAACATTTCCATAAATTTAGTGTATAAATTAATTTGCCTTTGCAAGTTGCTGTTAAAGAGTGTAAATTATCCATATGATTAACTGCTATAGCACCTTTTCTGGAAGACAGTCCACAGTCACCTGCATTTTACAAAGAGGGTAACTTGAATAAATATAACCAGAGACATCTCCATGGTTTGGGTGATTGTTGTACCTCATACAAAACTTTTCATTGGTAAATTCTGTACGCTTTAGGATAATTTCAATTACAGTAGTTTCCTGTTGTATTTCTGATCTTCCAGGATATCTTCGAGGTATTGATTCGGTCAGTGGGCAGGTGGTTTATCAGCAGACAACTGTTGCTACAACTATGCCTACAAGGGAAGAGAATGAGGAGGTAAAAGGTGTAATCACACATGCGCAGGTGTGTTGGAAACTGGGACAGATTTTAGTAGTGACCTATGATCATCACATTCTGTTCTATGATGTAGATGGTGGTGGTTTACATAAGCAGGTAATTTGAATACCTTGTTATTGGTTCAGTGAGAGAACAATGTTTATGTACTCTATATGTCAATTTAAATAGGGAGCTTCCGATTGCACAACGACGGTAGGACGTAGAACGTAATGACGTCACTAAAAGACATCTGCGCATGCGAGAACGTTAAGGTCACCTCGTCGAGTAGATTCTTAAACGTAATTTCTCCAAATCTATGTATGCAGAGAACGTAGGACGCCAGGTAGGACGGTCACGCATGAGTTATTCCATTCTAGCGTCGCGTCGCAGAATTCAAAAACTCCCTATTGTTGTCTTGAAGATCACAGTAGTCCTTGAGGCAATACCATTTTATATTTTCTCAGTTTGTTGGCTTCAATGATGAAGTTCTAGATGTAAGTTTTGCTGGTTCTAATGATTCTCACCTTGCTGTAGCAACTAACAGTGAATATGTCAAAATTTATGACCTTTCAACTCAGGACTGCCAGATCCTGTCAGGCCATACAGGTAGGTTGAATGTGCATCTAGCAATTTAAAAATTTATATCTCAGATTAATGTGAATTTATGTAAGAAATACTACAGATTTTATTAGTTAATTTGTTGAAATTATTACATAACCAGGATTTTTTTTTCTAACCATGTGTTATTTTCGTTTTTTGTTTTAAAGATTCAAAGTGTAGTCTTTGTAAACATATATTTGTATTTTTTTTGGGGGGGGGGTTAAAAATTTTGTTTTCAGTGAACATGAATAGTTGTTTGTGACAAGTATATGTTTATATCTTGTAGACATTGTGTTAGTTGTTGAGGTGTTCAATGACAAGCAAATGCTAGCAAGCAGCTCAAAGGTAAAGATAGTTTCATATGACATGTTATGGGATTGTCACTTTAAGCTTTAAAAAGATCACACATTAAGTGTAATTTATATACTGTATGGCACTACTACTATTGCTACGTCTATTACACCTACTACTAATGCTAATACTACTACAGCTGCTAATGATGCTACCACTGCTACACTTGTTTTGTTGCTGCAACTACTGTACTACTACTTATTGATAATCTCATAATACTGCAACTAAAGCTGATATTATTTTTAAACAAAATCAACTAATTGTTTTGTATCTGGTAGGATAATACGATTCGGCTTTGGAAGATGAATGCAAACAGTAAGTTTGAGTGTATAGGCATTGCAGTTGGACACACCCACTCTGTAGGAGCCATAGCAACATCACAGTAAGTTTAATATTCCTTTTTTAGAATTTACCTTTAAGAAAATGGAAGCGTCCTACCTAAAAAGTGCATATAATGTGTATATGCATTAAGTAACAGGCCTTATTTTGACTTGAAACCATAATCCATCTGTAGTGAGGCATCATTTCAGTATTTGAATATATTATAGTGTTAATTTAAGGGACTAAATTGAGCTGATCAAAAATGAAAACTTACACCCTCTGCTTGTGGATCGTATACATACAGTACTTGTGTGATTTCCATTCCAATAGGTTGTCTGCCAGATTTTTGGTATCCGGTAGTGAGGACTGTACCCTGAAAGTTTGGAATATTCCAGAAGATCTGGAAGCGTGTGATCCACCACAGCACCTGTCGGTTCGCTTCACTAACAGAGCTCATGAAAAGGTAAATAGCTAAAATAATAAATACAATAATGACCTTTTTTTAAACTGTAACATTTAAAAGATCTTACATCCTGTGTTTGAATTATGTATAATACATGCAAATTTCACAAATCCTATCTTCTCTTTTAATGCCTCAGAATTAATTTTTATAAATATTCATGAAATATTTAATGAATATTCATGTTGACAGGACATCAACAGTGTGGCTGTAGCACCAAATGACAAGCTCCTGGTTACTGGTTCCCTTGACAAGACTGCCAAACTCTGGCATCTGGAGAACCAAACATTCCTTGGCACTTTCCGTGGACACAAGAGAAGTATCTGGTGTGTTCAGTTCTCACCAGCAGATCAGGTGGTCGCCACAAGCTCAGCAGATGGCACAATCAAGATTTGGTCGATATCTGATTTTAGTTGTGTAAAGGTCAGTACTCAAATGAACTGCTATATTAGGGTATCTGTTGGGTGAGGTGAGGTAAGCTTTTATCTTAATATTAATTTATTATTTTTATAAAAGCATGTTTTTGTTGAACAAAGGATAAAAAACAATCTTTTTCAACTGAACGAAGGTGGAATACTACAGCCAATGTTCTGATGATGTGTATTGACTGTTGAGATGTTTTATCCTTAAAAGAAACCTTTTATAAAAAGTTTACCTTGGAACCAGATGAATTTCTTTTCTGATTAATTTATTAGTTAAAAGCCAAAACTGGTAGGATTTTTGTAGTCTGCAATGTGCCCAAAGTGAAGAGGTGAGATCAGTATAACCTGAGAACTAGGCTAGTAGGTTAACTAGCTTCCACTGAGAGGATGCATGCACTTACAGTACTTGAATTTACTATTTAGTATTAATGACTTCTGATTCTTTTTTCATAGACTTTTGAAGGTCATGACACATCAGTATTAAGAGTAACGTTTTTGACACGAGGAATGCAGTTGTTGTCGAGGTAATGGTTTATAAAACTGAAATTGATTTTACAAATAAAGATCCATTTATTATTATTTTTGTTATGAATATGACCTGCCTATTCACTAATACCTGTTTACCTAGAGTCACACCCTTTGCAAAGTCAAAAAAGATAATCTGTGATTACAAACTCTTGCCCTGTTGTGGCATATCTATACTGAAAAAATAATTATGCCACGGTCGATCCGCTCAAGAGAGTCGAGGGTAATAATATTGAGGTACAACATGACAAATTGACTGACTATCTAATCTTTTTTTGTCTTATATGCCTTTACAGTGGTTCAGACGGTTTACTGAAAATCTGGTCAATCAAGGACAGTGAGTGCCAGAAGACATTTGATGAACACACCGACAAGCTCTGGGCTCTTGCTGTCAGTTCAACAGAAGACATCATTGTAACTGGTGGGGCTGACTCAACCATAGTGTTATGGAAGGTTTGCATATTAGAATTGTTCAAACAACAACTAAACAACTGTCTAAAATCTGAGACGTTCACACACAAATAAAGATACTGTAATGCATATAGACCAATGCTGATATATTTCAAGTGATTCAAATTTCTAAGGTCTCACATGTTCAACACATAATGCACACATGTTCATCACATAATGCACACATGTTCATCACATAAAGCACACATGTTCATCACATAATGCACACATGTTCATCACATAAAGCACACATGTTCATCACATAATGCACACATGTTCATCACATAAAGCACACATGTTCATCACATAAAGCACACATGTTCATCACATAATGCACACATGTTCATCACGTAAAGCACACATGTTCATCACATAAGGCTAGACTTTATTTATTTCTTGTTTCGCGTACTTAAAAAAAAAATTATCAGAGGAGGCCGGAATAGAAATAAAAATAAAAATTTGTTTTCTTACTTAGCAAGTAAGTTTTGCCAAAATCATCCAGATGGAGGAGAAAATAACAATAATGATTTTATTACTGAATTTACAATAGGATAGTTAAATGCTTCAAATTTATTTAATTAGGAAGAAATACACATATCTTATCTTTGGCGATTTCAAGGCAGCGGAGGGCGGGTTCGCTAATTGGCCAAAAATAAAATTTTATTTTTATTCAAAATCATAATATTTGCAGTTGGTGGGTTCACTAAACAAGTTATAAAAAAAGTATCGCCTAATGTACACATGTTCATCACATAATGCACAGGTGTTCATCACATGCCCATTATATGTTCATTGCATGCTAATTGCATGTTTATTGTATGTTCATCACATGTTAATAGTATGTTTATGAGATGCTCATTACATGTTCATCAAAAGTTATAAATGTCCTACATTCTGCATTAAAGCCTCTGGATATTTTAATGTTTCAATTGATAAATCCAGGCTCACTGTAAACATGTGGTGCTGCCATTAATATTATGTTTGTACTCTAGTATGTTAATTATAAGAATGTCGGTTTATTTAGGATGTGACAGATAAAGAATGGGAGGAAAGCCAGTCAAAAGAAGAGGAACAAATTGTCAAGTGAGTTAATTTTAACTTTCAAATATTATTTGCAGGAAATGTATTTCTTGCAATATGAATTAATATGCAGATTAATTTAATGTGAAGTAACAGAAAATGTTTAAAAATTTGAATCATTTTCTCTAGACTGCAAAAACTATCAAACCTAATCCAGGGCAAAAACTTCAAGAAAGCTATTGGACTAGCTCTGACATTGGAGCAACCCTACAGACTACTTAACATATTTAAAGGTTAGTGGAGAAAATCAAGTGAAAAATGATTAGTGATATGCTGTACTTGTTGTCAGGTGGGTTACAGATAACAAGTCTGATTAGGCAGGTTGACTATTAAGGGAAGCTGTAGGACATTCATCCGATGGCTAAATTAAGCAATAGATTTTACTGAATGGTGTGATTGTAGGCAAATTAACTTGTTTTTATGGAATTTATTTTTACTATATGAATGCGTATTAAGAACACAAATATGGAGCAGCATAGCTAGATATTATGTGCTGGTGTATGCACGGAACTGTATAGATCTTTTCAGATTTTTGGTCCCTTTGCCACTCTCTATATGTTTTAGATTTGGTATTGCTATCTTTGTCCTTGTACATAAGTTTATGAACTATTTTATTGTCAGGATTGATGGATGAAACAAGTGGTAAATCATCTCTTGAGGATGTCATTGGAAAACTCAGACTTGATCAAATAGGTATGATATAAAACAATTTCTCTGTATATGTATATTAATAAGTTGGAAAAAGAGGGAGTATAATGTGTAAGAAAAGCCTCTAAAATTCCCACCCAGTTTAAATACAAAGATTTCATTTTCAAGATTTCATTATGGATTTTGTCTTCAGATGTATTGCTGAAGTTTTGTGTTCAGTGGAACACCAACTCAAAACACTGTCACGTCGCCCAAGCTGTTGTGAACACCGTGTTGAATCGATTTTCACATGAGCAACTTTTAGAATGTTCCAACATCACTGAGAGTATAGAAGGCCTGTTGCCATACACACGTAAGTTTGTTGCATTAAGATAAGGAAGTTTCTATGTTATTTTGCCTTTCAAAAGTTCAATGTTAACAATTGTTTTGGGTTTTTTTTTTCTAGAGAGACATTTTGCAAGAATGAATCGTTTGATGGAGCAAGCAATGTTTGTTGAATACACGTGGCATAGACTACGTGTGGTGACAGCGCCCTCTATACAGTGAGTTCAAACCTTTTATTTAATGTAAAGCACAAAAATGTGTTGTAACAAGTAATTTGCCGAATAATTTATTATACTGCACAGAGATGGCACCTCATCTTTAAAAACTGGTGTTTTTTTTTGTTACCATGTCTTTGTTTTACTTATATCATTGAACAATATTAATGAAGAAAGTAGAGTATAATTTTGTGGAAGAAACAATTAGACAATTTTGTCTTTATTTGTTCTAGATATATGACTCTATTGTTTTAATTTGTGTAAAAATATGGTTTTTTGAGGCAAAACCACTGGTTAGTTGTCTCCGTCTATAAACACCTCTGTATATTGTCAGCATTGATTGTTTACTCCACACTAAATAAAAGCAATGTCCTTGTTTGATATAATTATTTAATGGTCCATAATTGATGCATTTTGCAGAAATACTGATGCAAGATTAGATGCAAATGCAACAGAGGAATCATATTACATCGATGCAGGACAATTTTCCACAAAAAGAGCAATAAACGTTGCATCGACGTCCACAAACGTACAAGAACACATAGAAATATCAGAGAAGGAAAATGTTTCTGGAGAAATTATTGGAGAGAGAACGACTTCTGAAACGGATGTCAAAGCAAAATCTGAAAATAAATCGCATTTAGATAGTTCATCTGAAACGAACGGATGTTTATTTGAGAAGTACTCAAACTCTAATTTAGGGAGTAATCGGAATAATAACTGTATGAAAGCGTCTGTGGTGGATATTGAGTGGGAAGCGAGTAGAGGGAATTGGAGCGACAATAGTGATGTCATGGAAGTTGAGAAAGATGAATTATCAGAAGAAAAGGAAAGGGATAAGAAACTGACAAAACGAAAGTCGAATAAATCGGTGAGTTTATTTTATATATTGGATAAGATTCAGATATGTTAAATTTGAACACACAGTGGACACAATTGCCTACCAGGAACTGCTGTATCAGTGATCGCATTTCATTTGTTGGGGGTCTAATCAGTGTAAAAGTTTAGGGGAAAAAAAATGTAATGGTTTGAAAATCAACGGCCCACTGGTAATGCAAGAAATTACTTGCGCATTTTGGCAATCACTATGCACTTCAAGGCCAAATCCCACAGCGTCGTAGCCCAATGTGATTTATCATCTGTGAGTCTGTCTC